AAGGTACTAAGAAATAAAAAATATCATCATATAACCTAAGTCGTCACACTCAAGGTTAATTTTTTCGTTATATTCTATGTATTAATAAATTTCAAATTGACAGATCCGACCTGACCAATTTTTTCCAAATATCAGGTGGCGATACCTGGATTTAAATATCTTATTTTAATATATAATTCAATTTTCTTGATGATTGCGCAAGCAATATTACAATTGGAAATATCGAGCTGCTAGATCTTTGGACAAGAATGAATAACATTCCAAATCGCTATTTTTAGAAATTTCTTTATGATTAGAAATATTCAGATATTTTAATTTATAACATGAATTTGCGATTGCATATAGACCTTTATTAGTTATTAACCCGCTATAACACCTCTTTGCCAAGTTGAGATACTTCAGATTGGGATGTGATTCTGCTATTCGATTTAATGTTTTATCACTCAATCCCGCACTATAATATAAATTCAAATGAACTATATTTGAAAATAGACGTATAATACCTTTGAATTTTTTATCTGAAAGTGAATGGTAGTTTGGAATGCCCAAATGGGTTACATTCAAACAATAAACTGGCTTATGCTCACCACGTATTATTTTTATAAAAATTTTTCGTATATTATTCTTATTTAGCTCAATTCGTTTCCATAGAATAGGAGCACCACAACTGTACCACAGCTGGGAAACATATAGAGTAGGATAGAGGGATTTATTTATCAATAAGAAATATAAAATCCGTTCTAATACTTCTGGTATATTAAAAATTCTTGAATGTATTATAAATAATATGTGTATTAAAAATGCAAAGAACGATTTAAATTTCAAACTGATGACTAAGAATGCTTGCCTAAATCCTTTCAGAAAAATATCGTCATAATTTTGACGGGTTACACACTAATTATTAATTAGAATTTTGACATAATTTCAGTTACAACGGGTTTCAAAATTCGTCAGAATTTCGACGGGTTATTTACTAATAGTTTATTATAATTTCGACAGAATTTAGACAATCACTAAGGGATTTCGGCAAGCAACCTTACTGATGACCAGTTACCTATAGGTAGGCATATATTCTCTTTTATTATGGAATAATGACACTTATATGTCTCTGAGTATATGAGGAAAAAAGCATAATTAATTCTAATTTGAAAAAATATATTTCATAGTGTATATAACCTAAAGAATTGTTCATAAACTACTCGACCTACTATAACTTTAGATCATGTCAGCCATCATAACAAAAATCGTTGAGAAATACAATCTTAGCTCCAAGACTGACCTATCTAAACTTAGTCAATATACCTCCGAGATCCTCAAGGATCTTACAGATGATAGAAAAAGGAATCAGGCATGAAGACGTCTTCGGGATGGCTTTAAATTTAGCAGTAAGCAAGTAAGTATATTAATACCTAATCAGAGAGGCGGGAAAAACAAAACTATAAATATTGTCGAAGGTAGTTGCAGAATAGCCATAGCTTCACCCTCAAAAAGCTTGGAAGAAGAAATTATCAGAGATATAGCAAAATGAATCTTACAAAATAGATATGGGTTTAGTAAGGATCAAGTAAATGCATTATTCTCTATCCAGGAAAATGAAAATAAGACCAAGCAGAACGTGCCCTGTTCTACAGTAAACATTGTTATTTCTAATCAGATCTCACAAGAAACTATTGGAGAGATGGCACATCAGTTTTTACGAGATAAGCTTAGTATTAGGGATATAAGAGCTGAAGCTTATGCCTTAGTTCTATCAGCATCAAATGCCAATGCTGGTTCATCACTTCTTTTACGGCTTAGAAGAGAATTAAAAACTCTTGGTGCATCATTTGATATAATTGAGACCACAAAATTCCCAGATATTACAGAAGATGCTAACAAAATTCAAATGAACAATCAGAAAAAGACTAAAATCATTGATTATCCAGATGAATTTATATTAGAATCGGTCAAAGAAAGATTAGATGCGTATGATTTAAAAACCCCACCTAATTATCAGGTTCTTGCTGATGTTATGGTGATGCTTTGTATTCGCTCTGCTGAACTTATAACTTTACGTATTACAGATACCAGAGTAACAGGTTATGTAAAGAACAAAGGCCAACCAGATATTTCTAAAAAATTTAGATCTATGGAAAAGAATCAAGAATGAGTCAAAGAATTACTAATCTGAATACAGAATGCTATGTCTTCTGGTCGAATGGGTGATCCAGGTAAGCCAGGGGTTAAATGGTTCAATAGATTTTTAAAAGATTATGATTTAATTCCTAAATATTTACGTAAATTAGGAGCAGTTTACGGTGCGGTAGTACATAAAGCTGAGAATTCAGCCCATGCCTATACCATTACTGGAGAATGTCTACGTCATAATCTGAATAATTTTACTTCTCCAGTATAGAACTACATTGTTGTCAATTATCAGAAAAAAGGACAGACTCCAGAGCAAGCGAGATCATTTTATCTCTACGATGAAAATTAATTACTAATCATGCTTCTTTACTTTTGATACCTATTCACTGATCTCAATATCAGATTCAGAGTCAGGTCCAGATTCGAATGAAGACAAGAATGAGGATGGAGATCTGGTATCATTTAAAATTTTCTTTTTTCTTTTAGCCTCAGATGGTGTATGATTTCTTTGAGAAATATTTGGGTTTACTATCGTATTTATAATTTCCTGCCGGATTTCAGGTTGCACTATCTTCAGTAATTGGCAAAAAGAAATCTGAATTGTTTTACTAGACACTTGCTTAACAATACCAGATACTGCTCTATCAGTAATATGACTCTTTAGAGTTACCCCTTTGGTCCTGGGTATTCTTTTATGCGGCTTTACACTATCTATTTTCAAATTCAACTTTTCATCTTTGACAGCATTGATAATTTTCGTGATTTTAATCTCAGATAAGCCATTCTCAGAATCAGATTCCGATTTGGAACCAGAACCACGAACCACTAGGTCTGATATAGATATTTTTTCATTGATTCTATTAGTGATACAATTTTATCATCATTCTCTTGTAATAAATTTTGATGAACTGGCTCAATATTGTTATTAGCTTCGATCATTGTATATTTTGAATTAATTTTTATTAATACGAAGTAAAAAATACATTATTGAATATATTATTAAATATAGAATCACAATGATAACTTTATTCTGCGAAATCAGTAAAGTACCAGTTATAGCTATATTAGATTCCGGTGCTGATTGTAATATTATAGGTAAGGAAGTAGTAAATAGGTTAGGTTTAAAAATTGATAATAGCTCTGATATAGAAGTATACAATCCTATTAGCAAGCTCAATGTAGTAGGGGTGATTCGCGAAATAGAGATTTCAATACTGTCTCAAGACTCTAAATGGAACAAGTAAAAGTTACGAATATTTTTGTTGTTAATAGTCCTGAACATGCACTGGTATTAGATCAGTCATGGTTTAAAGATAATGCAATGGAATTGGACTTCCCAAATAAAATTCTTACACTCCTTGATGGAACTGCTATACCATTAGTTATTGGATCAGGAATTCCACCGCCTACACAACACAATCAGTTCATAGATGAATATGTCAAGATGATAAAGCTATATGCTACATCATTGGGTATTAACTTAAATAATCAAGACCTTAAGAGGACTTTCTTCAATGGTCTATCACGAGAAAATAAAAAGAAGTAATTCGATTCGGGTTTAAAAATTCTCTGAATGAAATAATTGAGCATTTAAAATTTAAGTGTCGAGACACTAGCTCTGCTATCTCAACCGGGCCTACCGATATTCAAAAATTCTGATTTGGAGGGTTGGAACAAGGAAATGAATCAATAATGTGATAAATTAGCCGGATACAATGGAGAATAGCTTAAATATTTCTTTCTTCGTGGATTGTCACCCGATAACCAAATGGAAGCCAGAAGATACAGATTAGAGCTTCCATTAGATGAGCTAGTAGAGAGATTAAGCACATTGGAAAGACTTGCCAGATAAGTAAGAGAATGTGCAATTATCCAAACATGTGTCTTTTTTCTGATTAAAGATATATAATAATATACAATTTAAGAATGACGCAACTATTGCAGAGCAATGTCCCAAAGGGTCTAAATATTTTTGATTTACCAGAATTGTTAGAACAGATCTTATATTTTTTAGAAATCGATCGATTCCTCTATCCTGCTTTATTTGTTAACCGCCTTTGGTATCACTGCGGTGCTCCTATTTTATGGCGTCGTGTTGAGTTTTTTATAGAAGATTGTCAACAAAGTCAGGATAGTAAAATCATATCTGGGATTCTTTATCAGCGATTAATGAAGTTAAAAAGAGTTATGCGTGGGAAAATAAAATCACTCTATTATTCAAAGATGGTATATCTCAGATTAGAAGGTTTAAAAATCTCAGATGCTTTAATAAGTACAATTCTGCGATCATGTCCGAATATACGCTTTCTCATTTTTGATAAAAGTAAGGGTTTCACTAATATACCAATTATAGAAATTGCAAGATATTGTTCAAAACTATTACATCTGAGTCTTAATTCATGTATATGTCTCACTAATCGATGTATCACTGAAATAACACATTCTTGCCTAAAACTTAGACATCTTGAACTTGGTCAATATTCGATTGGTAATGAAGTTGTCGAGAAAATAGCCCGTAATTGTACTAATTTGAAATATCTTAGATTGGAGGGATATAAAGGGATTAGCGAAAAAGTAATGAAAAAACTCAATCTGAAAATTAGCGTGAGCAAGCCTTTGGCTAAAATCGAATATCCAAATTATTCAGATGATGAATGGTCCGATTCTGATTCAGAAGATGAAAATGATTTTATTTCTATATTCAGTAATTATATCAGAGTATCATCAGAATCGACTGACCCAGAACAGAGTAATTTATTAAATAGTCTTATTCGAGCTACTCATCATTCATGGCAAGGGCTTTAGAGTGGATAAATATTTATTGTTAACTTTTTTTCGGCAAAGATATATAATATATAATATAAATTATCATCATGAAAGTGAAAATAGTCAAAGCTAAAGTAGGGGGACAAAAAATTAATTGTTATCTTGAACCAGGTTTTCACGGTCCTTCCATGTGTAGTGATAAGCTCCTTAAGAAAATCAGCAGTAAAATTAGCAGAAAGCTGACTCCCGAAGAAAAAGATAGTGAATTCGTCAGAGAAGAAACCACAGCTCCACTTGGAATTGCTATAATTCCACTTACCTTCACCTCTAATATAAAAAATAATGCTCGACTTAATAATAAGAAATCTATTATCATACCAACCGAAGTGCTAATTGAAAAATATAACTCTAAATTGCCTAATTATATATTACTTGGTAATAATTGGTTCTGTGATTGCAAATATGATGATGAGCTCCAAACATACATACCTGAAATTGTAATCGATGCAAAAGATGCTTGGGTAAGAACAACTCTCCGTATTAAAAATCTCGCTGAGAAGAAAGGGAGGAGGGTTATAGTGTGTGTTACTAAAAAATATGTTGATGAATTCTACGAATTCGTTTCTTCTAACTCTGATGATGCAGAGCATCGAACCTTTGGTTCTTCTAATACCTCCGATACAAGTGGTTCTTCCACATCTAGTTCAGAATCAGATGATAAGCACGTGTGTAAGGCTGTTATATGTCCGAAATGGTGTTACAGAGTAAAAAAGAAAAAATAATTATGTGTCTTGACACTAGCTTCGCTATCGAGTTATATAAAGTGATACCACATGATAATTTTTCGTTTAACGAATTATATTAACCTAATGTAGGAAAACAAATTGACCTACCCATCTGCCATATTTAATTTTTTTGTCTAGCTTAAAGGATTGTGCATCCAAATTTGAAACAGACTCTTCTGATCTTGAGAATATATAATTATTTACCGAGTTATTTTTTCCTGATAATATACATCATTAAATAATATTTGACATGATTTTCATAGAGACACTTGTTGAAGGAAACATTTTAATTAAAGCGTTAATTGATACAACATCTAAATCCAATATTATTAGCAAGAGCTTGTTCGATAAGCTTAAAGAAGATTATGGGTTGGAATGTTTATCTGGTGATGAATTGATCGGTAAAGAAATAAAAGGCTTAGATTTACAATTTCACTATAAAGGAAAGTGGCAAAGCTTAGATTGTACTGAAGTAATAAACTTTCAAATTCGCAAAAATCCATCATTTGATCTGGTATTAGGACTGGAATGGTTATGAATCCACAAAGCAAAAATAAGCTTTAAACACCCCCCCAAAACATATACTCGTCATGCTAGGATTGTAATAGATGATACGAGTATTCCATTAATCGAAGAAAATAGTAATAAAACCAGCACTAGTAAAAATAACTTATCTAAATCGACGGAATCTAAACCTGGTCTAGCCCAAGAGGAGGTTAAAAATATAATTAATAAAATTCTCTCAGGTGCCCAAGATATTAAACACCAAAAGAGCCATCGCAGAATATTTCACAATATACCTCCCGCACCTCCAACATTCAGAAGATTAAATGATGATGTACCCAAAAATAGCAGAGCTAGCAAGAATAAGAAATATCCTAAAGTAGATTTAGGCGATGGGTGTGGAAAGCTTTCATTAAAAACACACCTCAATAATATTTGGAAGTCGGTTCATTCTATAGAAAATGATATAGAGTATGGAGTTTTTGATAAACTTCGTATTATTGAGTATGAACTAAGTTGTATAAATAAAGGAAAGTTACCATGGGTAAAGTCGGATTCTTCAGATACTTCAGACTCAAGTGATTCTTCTTCGTCTAGATTGCGATCAGAAGTTATAGATACGTATTGGACAACATCCGTTAAGAAACGTCCTACTAAACGAAAAATTCGCAAAGTGAGAATGCGTAATATCTAAACGATAAATATTTTTCGATTTGAATTTTTTCTTTTACTCATTGTAAGAGTTAACAAAATCCCTTACCCAAGTTGGTGCATATGTATTTGGATAATTCTTTTTTTTTCCGATTAACACCATCGATTAAACAAAGATAAGTAATTTTTTCAAACAAATATAATTACCTTATAACTGCGAAGTAATAATTTTATTTCAAGATGGCGCCCAAAAAATCCAACAAAGACCCCGATTCGCAACTGCCGGAGAAGCCTACCAAATCAAGACCACCTCTTGCACGATTGGCCAAGGACGATATTACAGCAATACTTTACGCCAAAGAATTAAAAGGTGGATCTAAAAAAGTTTCGGAGTGGTATAAAATTGGTACCCCAAAGTGCAATAAAATATGGAAGTCTGAGAATCCATACTCATATGCTAATTCAATCGAAGATGCGAACTTGCCCGACTGGTACCCTAATAATACCAAAATCGAGAAAGCAGGAATATCACCCGAACCAATGCCTCAAGAAATAATTTCACCCGAGGAACCTGTTATCATCAAACCAGATCCCATCGAAGTAAAGAGGAAGAGAAAAACAACCGAGATTGAGAATATCGCGCGTCGAGTATTGAGATCCGAGCTAGGGAAACTGGTTATAGAAGAGTAGATCGGGTAATTAGGCACTCGCCAGCCTCCAGCTAATTTCGGACAAAGAATTTTTATTTGCTGTGTTGTATATATATCTGTGATAATTTTCCTTGCTTTACTTTTGATTCTAGACATGGACATTGACCGATGTTAGCCGATTTTTTGACGAAAACTTCATGTAATTGTTGAAGAGAAACATTCAGAAATAATGGTAGTCCCTCACCTGTAAACCAAAATTTCTTTACTCCCCTATCAATGAATTTCTTTAATACCACACCTAGATCATCTTCTAAGAGACCGTGAAATTCCTCAAACTTTCGGAGATATACCCTCGCATTTTTATCGGCTTCTTCTACTGTTTCTTGATTAGTATAACCGACAATACCAACTTCTTCCTGAATTGCCATTATATCCTCCTCTAAGTATAAAAGCAAATTAAATAATTTCGAAAGTGATAAATCAGTAAAATCCTTATTGCTTTGATTTGCCACATTATTATAACACTCCGCTAGAACGGGGTTGCCATTGATGTCGAGATTTTCCTGTATCGGTATTAAATATCCCACCAAATTTAATAATAACTTATATGAATCAGCAAGTGTTTTTCCTTCGGGCTCGTGTTCTGTTTGCTTTGGTACATTGCCATTAGCCATGCTAGCTTCCCAGCTAATACCAAGTTTTTCTTGAATTGCTATTACATCCTTCTTCTTATATAAAAGCACTTCATATAAATGAGTAAATGTTTCGCTTTGATCAGATTTATGTGCCTTGGCACTAGCCCCGCTATTATTAGTATTTACCATATCTGCTATAATAAAATATCTTGACTCACCAAGTTTCGAAGAAATATATTTAATGTAGAAAATATCGCATAAATGTACAAATTTGAATCGAATAAATGGATGTATATATGTTAATATGGGTAAGTCTCAAAATAATAAACGCAAAACGATGGGTAAATTTACCGATATTCCCTCCCAGTATATAAATCTGCTTAATCCTCATAAATATGAACACACGTACGATCCAGAAAATAGCTTTGTTATAGTCAAGAATATACGTAAAGATAGTGTAGTGGGGGTGTTCGATTATTCAGAACTATTCGTATACTTGGAAATGTATCATCCAACACTTCTGGCATAATTTCGTTTTGTAGTAAACCGCGATCAGGATAATCAGATTTTTTTACGTATTACGTTGCACGTTATCCTTGCCCGTGACGTGTATTCGAGATGCAGAGTTGAAGTGCCATTTATTCCGAAATAGGATCATATCGCATCTAAATTAAGTAACAAACAAAATTTCGAGTGATACATGTGGAATTGTCAATTATCGACGATATACGCACAGACGATTTTATAGGTGAGCGATTACCCGATGTGCAATTTCGGCATAAATAGTACGAAGACATCCTATTTTGTGATCTATTGCCTCGATTTAGTACGAGATGTAAAGAACCAATACCATGGATATCTGATGCCGAGACTTGACGTATAAAAACATGCGTTGTCTCAGTGGGTCTGGCCCTAAGATACAAAGTAATCGTTTAGAACGTGAAAACGCACGTAATTCCAGACAACATTAACGAATAACCCCCAAGTAAAAAAACATAATTTTTCAGATACTGGTCCACATAATTCCCAAACAGGAATCATAATCTATAATCGCAAAATCCTTGTCGTATTAGTTTCTTTACAACACAATTGAATCACAAATCGTGCAAACCTTATTAAAATGTTCTCGATTGCTCCCGATTTTTTACTACTTGCCAGCTTCATGCTGATTCAAATGATATTTCTCTACTTCATAACTAGATACAGTTCCGGGAATGTCGAAAAACAATTCAACGCAAAAATGACTTCAGCGCTAAAGAAGCAACAAAAAAGTATCTCTGATTTATCTGAAATTGTAAAACACCTCGCCTATGATATTCGTGAAGTTCGGGATGGGGCTGCAAGAAGTAGTAACGTGGGGTCTGGTACATCCAAATCGCCCCAAAATTACACTGGTACTATTTTCGAACTCTGGGAAGACATTGATACCCTGTTCAAAGAAAAGAAAACTCACGAAAGCGGTCTATGGCAAGGCTGTATCCAAAGGTGGCTGAGGAAATCCGGGACCTTGTCATCAAACATAAGAAGGGGATAGCAATCAGTGACGCCACCGTTAGAAATTTTCATAAAAAAATAACTAAAAATCCGAAAGAAGATACACTGGATTCATTAAAATTATGGGTGTCCAAGCAGAAGGGTGAAATAGATAGTGAACCTGAAAGTGAGGAGGAAGGAGAAGATAATAATAATGATAGCTAGTGTGGGGTAGGGAAAGGAACTGCCATCTTAAGACTTAGGGGTCTGAGCAGGCATGTTTTAACGTGCTTTATTCCTCCCTCTTTGTTCCTACTCCACGATTCTATATAGGCCAGCCTTTTACATTGTAATTCATAGCATTAAAAAAATATTTTTAAAAAAATTCGCACGGCATATGGTTATACAGATATGTAGCCCCATGTGATCTCGATGAGTTTATATAAAATGAAGACGCGTATTCGAAAAAAATCTATCTATTGTTTTTATACTATCGTCTACATTAATAAGTTTCTGTTAAAGGGGCAAGTATTATTTTGTACTCTTATACCATTTAGTTGACCTGTAAAGCCTTGCATGGTTTCGTACTTTCCTGGTGTTGTCACCTAAATTGGGACATTATTAAAAAAGCAAATGCATTGTCCGTGGCCTGTAAAGCCTTGTATGGTTTCGTACTTTCCTGGTGTTGTCACCGGATGATTACTTGCTAATA